AGGACTTGATAAATCTCATTCTTAAAACGGGTACAGTTATTAAGACCCCAATTCAACCACCTGATATAAAAGACGTCTTTCGTACAAATTCTAAGACCACTAATAAGCCTGTAATTGTTGAATTTAAATGAAATATAGTCAAAGAGAGTTTACTCAAATCAGTTAAAACCTTCAATAAAGAAAATAAGCACAACAAACTGAGCACTGAAAATCTGGGAATTGGAGGGCCCAAGACTCCAATTTACATTTCGGAATATCTCAGAACTAAAACCAGAAGATTATTCTACTTGGCTAGAAAATTTGCTACTCAAAAAAAAATTCTGCTGGACAACATATGGAAGAGTATTTCTACGCAGAGAAGAGGGCTCGCCAACAATACGTATAGAATCGGAATCGGATTTTTTAAAGTTAACGCAAAAATGACTAGATTTTCACTATCGATGTAACTAGAAAAGAATTAACTTTCTATTTTATTATTTTTACCGAACTTACTTTTATAATTATTGTTATTATATAATTTTCCTGTTAGTCATAAGTAACACAAACAGCACAATAAAAAACATGTGCACACACATAATTCATAGAATAAATGAGTAAAAAGGTTATATATACGAGTATATATTGTGTATAGTATAATCTGCATATTAACAGATGGCATTGTTTGATTTATGTTCGCGCTATTAAATGTATTACTACCGTTGTACTTAGTTAGCTGCTTATGTATGTCAATTGAGTTTAAAATTCGAGTGAATATACGAGTTGTGTTTACGTGAGCGTGTATCATTTCTAACATTGGTGCCGAAACCCGGGAAAAGAGAAGAAGAACCAAAGTGAACTGTGAAGTGCTAATAAGTGGTGAGAATAGTGCAAAGTAAACGAAATTGGACTTTAAAACCATGAGTAAATACACTTGTTAGATATCAGTGAATTAGAAGACAATCTTAGGAAAATACTTGGACTTGTAAAAATTTCGTGAGTACGTTCTGTGGACTTAGAAAAAACTAGTGTTATTTTAGACTTGTAAAAATTTCGTGATTTTATTCTATACACTTAGAAAATTCTCAGAGCCAGTGTGGACTTGTGAAAATTTTGTGATTTGTTACTATAGACTTAGAAAGTTTTACATATTATGGACTTGTATAATTTTAAATGTGCTATATGAACTTGTATTAAATTTTAAATGTCACATTTATTTTGAACTGTTTATTGAGTTGAACTTCAGGATTGTTATAAATAACTAATTCGAAAGACTTTTAAAGGAAATTTACTCTAAATTTAATAAAATAAAATGGAGAGATTAATCAAAGGGCAACAAGAATTATTTGAACAATTAAGAAAAGCCGAGCGCAATCTTAAGAAGGCGAACCATGAGGTTCGGGCAAAATCTAGTTATCTGATAGCAAGAATGGAAGCGTTAAACAAGTTGGAAGAAGCTTTCAACCAGAATCATCTTGAAATAGTTGCCATAGCAACGGAGGAGCAAATGAAAACGTTACAATATTTTCAAGATGACTTACAGGATAGCTTTCAAGAATCTTTTATACAATACAAAGCTTTGTTAAAGGAATATCTAGAATATACCGATCAAAACACGACTATACATGCGATAGACGCAAATGAGAATGCATCAAACAAAAATCAAGGAAACTCTGAGGTGCAATTACCTAGAATTCAACTTCCTATTTTCTCAGGAAAATACACCGAGTGGCAATCTTTTTATGACATGTTTGTCTCATTATTACATGAAAATTATACACTATCAGCTGTTCAGAAATTGCATTACTTAAAATCGAGTTTGTCTGGAGAAGCAATTAACTAAACGTTATAATAACTAAAGGTATAACTGCAATGCTATAATGAAGACATTATTTAGACAAAAGAATATAAAACACGAATCTGCGAATTCCATTAGACATTTGTTAGACACAACAACTTCTTGCCTAAAGGCTCTTAATAATCTCAATATTGGTACGGAACAATGGGATGCAGTTATAATTCATTTGGTAGTGTCAAAGTTGGATCATGAGTCACACCGACAGTGGGAAAATTATATAAGTACCGCATCAGATGAATTACCTAAATGGTCTCAGTTAGAACAATTTTTAGAAACGAGATTTAGAACTTTGGAGATGATCGATACAAGTAAGCAAACTACAAGCAATAAGATGACCATACAATCAAAAGGTTTAAATCAAGCGGTAAAAGCTAAGGCATTTCATTCAGCTTTGAATGTAAAACAGAGTTCATCTGAACAGAATTGCGCGATGTGTAATGGTTCACATTTTATTTATTACTGTACTCAATTTAAAAAGCAACCAGTTCTTGAGAGACAAAATATTGCACAAACTAAAAGGCTTTGTTTCAACTGTCTAGCACCTGCGCATCCTGTATACAAATGTCATCAAAATACTTCTTGCCGCAAGTGTGGTAAAAAACATCACACTTTGCTTCATTTTGAGAAAGGGGATAAAGAAGCTTTTAACATATTAAAACAAAATGATTCATCTAAAGGAGAACCTCAACAATGTAATAGTTAAGAAACTTCTACAATGAACGAGAGGAACGTAGTAGCTAATTTTTCGAGACAAGATTTAAAAAATTATAATGTATTGTTAGCGACTGCTGTTGTAAAATCTAATTCTCGAAATGGTTCTTATGTGATTAGAGCGTTGCTTGATCAAGGCTCGCAAGCTTCTTTTGTTAGTGAAGATACTGTACAATTATTAGGTCTTAAGCGTACAAATGTAAATGGTAAGGTGTCAGGTTTGCCGCGGGAGACGCCCCGGGCGTCGGGGGCTACGTCGTGGCCCCCGGCCACCGTAGGCGCGGGCCTGTGGACGGTGAGCAATGGGTAGCTCGCCGTCCGTCCGTCTAACGACGACAGGCCGTGTCGACGGCGCGTTTTGTTCCACGCGCGCCTCAAAGAGCTGTCAGCAGCGTGAAGGGGCCCGCAAGGGCCGACGCCTGCCGGGGCTGCGGGCTGTTCGAAAGAGATACCGCGGCTCCGGAACGTAAGGGCACTGAAGAAACACGGATGGTTTTAGTCAGTAAAAGTCTGACACTCCCTTCCGCTCCACCCAGAGCGAAAGGCGTCATTTGATGATTTTCCATCCGCAAAAAAAAAAAAGGTGTCAGGTTTGGGAGATGGTCAAATGGTGATTAAACATGCGGTTAGTTTTGAAGTTGAGTCGCGTTACGTACCTGGGAAATTTATATGCGTCAATGCGTATGTATTAAAATCACTTACTTCATTATTACCAGGTCATGAAGTACCTATACTTGATTGGTTAGAATTAAAAACATTACCTCTTGCCGATCCTGGATTTGCATCACCAGGAAAGGTTGACGTATTACTCGGTGCTGACGTATACGGAGAAATATTGCTAAGTGGAATTAAGAAGAGTCCATATGGAAATCTAATAGCACAAAACACGTTGTTTGGGTGGATTTTGTCAGGTAAAGTAACACCCGAGTTGAATAGCGAGAATATTATTACTTTACATGTTAAAATAAGAGAGGATGAGATACTGAAAAAATTTTGGGAAATGGAGAACGAGCCTAATAGTATCGAGAAAAAATTAACAGCAGAGGAAAAATTTTGTGAAAAGTTATACAAAGAAACTACTTTAAGGCATGAAGACGGTAAATTTATAGTAAGATTACCTTTTAAAACAGTTGACCCGCAGTATCAACATGGTCAGTCATTTGATATTGCTGTTAACAAATTATATTCATTAGAGCGAAGATTGTGTAAAAACCCTACACTTTATAACGAGTATATTAACGTTTTACAGGAATATGTAACTTTGGGCCATATGAAGGTAGTTAATTGTGATTATGTTAACAATTCTAAAGCCGTGTATCTTCCTCACCATGCAGTTGTGAGAGAAAATAAAGAGACAACGAAGGTTAGAGTCGTCTTCAATGCTTCTAGTAAGGGTGTAAATAACGTGTCTCTTAATGATGATTTACTTGTTGGTCCTAAACTCCAACAAGACTTACGACACTTATTACTACGATGGCGAAAACATCCGATTGGTATTGTTGCCGACCTAGTGAAAATGTATCGGCAGGTATATGTGCACGAAGACGACAGTAACTTTCAGAGGATATTATGAAGAACTAAACCTGAGTTACCAGTTCAGCACTATAAACTGCTAACATTAACCTTTGGCACTACATGCGCACCTTATTTTGCAGTAAAAACCTTACAAACATTAGCAGAATTAGAAAAAGACAAATATCCGTTGGCAGCTCAGATAACACTAAGAGATTACTATGTTGACGATTTAATGACAAGTTGCGAAACTGAGAACGAAGCACTACACATTTACGAAGAAATGTGTAAGCTGATGGGAGCTGGTGGATTTGAACTGCAAAAGTGGAGTAGCAATAGCCAATTATTTCTAAATCACATTAAGAAAAATAATTTGAACACCGAAAATTCCGTAACGATTAAGGTTGTTAATATGATGAAAGTGTTAGGTATTTGTTGGAACAGATGCACAGATAATTTTGAGTATGTAACAAATTTAACTGACCCAGAAAAATATGTAACAAAACGGAAAGTTTTATCGGATGTTGCCAGGCTCTATGATCCTATAGGATGGATTGCCCCAGTAATAATTACTGCTAAGATTTCCATCCAGAAATTATAGAAAGCATGCCTTGGCTGGGATAAGAAATTGCCTGAAAACCTTTTGGTTGAGTGGTTAACCTTTAGATATGAGTTAGCAAACATCAAAAACATTTCTATACCATGGTGGCTTGGTTCAAAAAAGGGGTCTAAATTAGAACTTCACGCATTCTCAGATGCATCAAGTGTAGCCTATGCAGCTGCAATTTATCTCAGAGTGGTGGACGATAATAATGAAGTACACGTGAAGCTTATTACTGCCAAGACTAAGGTTGCACCAATAGAAAAGTAGGTGACCATACCCCGCTTGGAACTTTGCGGAGCAACTCTAGCTGCCAAATTATTAAACGAGGTTTCGCAAGTAATGGACATACCTAAAGTAGACTTATATGCGTGGACAGACTCAACTGTAGTATTGGCTTGGCTACGTGGACCTATTAGTCGATGGACTACTTATGTAAGTAACAGGGTGTCCCACATTCTCACAATTATGGATGTTGAACAGTGGGGACATGTATCAACTAACTTTAATCCCGCTGACTGTGCGTCAAGGGGACTAAAACCGACAGAATTAAAGAGTTACGAATTGTGGTGGTACGGTCCTGGTTGGCTATCAAAACAAATCGTTCGTATTGAAAGACCTGAGTTGTCGGACATTCATGAAGAAGAACGAATAAAATCGTTTGTCGTTGAAGAAAGGCGATGTAATGATTATGAGTGGATGAAATTTTCAAACTTAACTAAGCTATTTAAAGTTATTTCATTATGTCGCAGATTTCTGAAAATAAAGTTGCCGCCACATGAAAGGAAAGAATTTCCAAAATTTGCTACAACTGACGAGATGAATCAAACACTGCAACTTTGCATTAAACAAGTTCAAGAATGTGAATTCGCGGAAGAAATAAATTCTTTGACATTAAAAGGTTGTGTAGCAAATCGTAGCGTGTTACGCACTCTTTATCCCTTTTTAGACAAAAATGGGATCTTAAGAGTAGGTGGGCGCCTAAGTCAAGCTAATGTAAGTTATGATCAAAAGAATCCAATAATTTTGCCTGCTGAGAATCATCTTAGCCTGTTAATAGTTGCTGATGCTCATACAAAGACTCTTCATGGTGGTCCACAACTGATGATGAGTTTTTTGAGATCCAAATATTGGATATTGAGAGCACGTAATATGGTTAAAAAGTATTACAGAAGTTGTGTCGTATGTTTAAGGTACTCTAAAGCAGCGACTACACAATTAATGGGTCAATTGCCGGAGGTTAGGTTAAAACCGAGCAGACCTTTCAAAAGTTCAGGAGTAGATTATGCAGGTCCAATTAATATCCGATTCTCTCCAGGCCGTGGATCAAAATCCTACAAAGGATACATTTGTTTGTTCGTTTGTATGGTAACTCGCGCGATCCATTTAGAAGCGGTATCTAATTTAACAGCAAAAGGCTTTATTGCTGCATTTAGAAGGTTTGTTGCACGTAGAGGTCATTGCCAAAATCTTTTTAGTGATAACGGCACGAACTTTGTGGGAGCTAACAAAATGTTGTGTAAAATGTTTGATAATGCTAAATTTTAACTACATAATGAAATAGCTGAATTATTAACTTTGGAGTCAACAAAGTGGCATTTAATACCACCAAACGCACCTAATTTTGGAGGAATATGGGAGGCGGGTGTACGATGTGCTAAAGCTCATTTGAAACGAGTTGTAGGGGACAATATCTTAACATTTGAAGAGATTTCTACTATGCTGACGCAAATCGAGGCCTGTATAAATTCGCGACCATTGAGCATTCTTAGTGACAATCCATATGACCCTCTCCCATTAACACCTGGTTATTTTTTTAATAGGGGAGCCATTGTTAAATATTAACGATGTAGATTACTCTGATCAAAATGGGAGGGGCTTAGATAGATGGAAAATTATTCGAAAAATGGTTAATTCATTTTGGAAAAGGTGGTCTAAAGAATTTTTAAGTAATTTAAATCAGAGAAATAAGTGGTGTACTAAAAAACCTGAAATTGATATTGGAGATGTAGTGGTGATAAGAGATGATAATATACCACCTGCCAAATGGATTTTAGGTAAAGTAATAAAAAAAACATGCCGTACCCTATAAAGTGACTCGAGTCGTTAGTATTAACTGTAAGGGAGGGTATTTAAAACGCCCTGTTAGTAAGCTTTGTGTGTTGACCAAGTCATAAAGATTCAAATCCCACTGTTACGGTGGGCGTCTTGTTTCTTTAGTTGTTAAGTATTTGTTAGGAGTATGTGGATTTTTTTTGAAGGACAAGTCCTTGGTGGGCGGAATGAGTAAAAAGGTTATATATATATATATATATATATATATATATATATATATATATATATTGTGTATAGTATAGTCTGCTTATCGACAGATGGCATTGTTTGATTTATGTTCGCGCTATTAAATGTATTACTACCGTTGTACTTAGTTAGCTGCTTATGTATGTCAATCGAGTTTAAAATTCGAGTGAATATACGAGTTGTGTTTACGTGAGCGTGTATCATTTCTAACAATAACTATCACAAAAGCAACACTTACACATAACAATTTCACACCTAAAACCAACAGAAATACACGGTCTTTTATTCACATATATACATCTGTTATAAAAAAATAACTTATTACAACTCAATTAAAATAATATGTCAATATATGCCATATATTCAGGGATATCCCCAAGCATCACTGAAAATAAGTCATAAAAATAAATACTTTTAAAATTCAATCTTCCTAGTGAAACTATCATTGATGAGATTGACCTAGTAAACGAGGTAAGGTGTATGAGCTTGTCAAGTCCTACTGAGCTAGTCAAGTACCTTTGTAGGGATGTAAAAAACTTTGATGATAAAAACTTGTCTTCCTTTTGTGTATTATGTGTTAATATAAGAAGTCTCAATTGTAATTTAGACACTTTTCTAGTTTTCTTGTCACAATTGAATATTAATATAGACATTGTTGTTTTTACTGAATGTTGGTTAAAAGATGATTCCATAGTACCGGAAATAGACACCTATTCATCATACTATACTAAACGTTTATTTAACCAGAATGACGGTGTGGTAGCATACGTTAAAAATAACATAAACGTCACATCATATGAACCATTAGTCGACAATGGCAATGTGCTAATACTCACTGTCGATACAGATACCACGATTATCTGTACATATAGACCACCAAGTTTTCGCAATCCAACGCAGTATATCACATCACTTGACAAAATACTTCATAGCATAAACACAAGTATCGTAGTCTTAACTGGAGATCTTAACTTAAATGTTATGCCTTGTACTATAAAAGGATATTCTGCCGAATACCTCAATATGCTCTCTATGCATGACTTAAAACAATGCGTTTATCTTCCAACAAGGACGGAAGCGTGCTTAGATCATTTTATGGTACGAACCCAACATGGGATTACATCTATTGTTTTTGATGAATTTACTGACCATCACCCTATTTTATTATTTATTGACAGAGTAAAAATAAGTAAAAATAAATCAAAATTTTATACAGTAAAAATTAACTTTGATAAAATAACTGTAGGTGTGAATGAGCTTAACTGGGAAGAATATTATAGAATCGACAATGACAATGATGCTGCAGAGTATATTGTAAATATTTTAAAAGATTTAATACAAGTTAATACAACCAGAATAACTATATCTAAAAGAAATCGGCCATTCAAACCCTGGATAACACCAGGAGTTGTAAGATCGATAAGAAAAAGGGACAAATTACATAAACAATTTAAAAAGGAAAATAATAATGAAGATTTAGCATCACACTATGGGAAATACAGAAACACATGTAACGACATAATAAAAAAGTTAAAAAGACAGTATTACGAACAAGAACTTATTACCAGTACTGGAAACGTTAGAAAGACATGGAAGATAGTTAAAGAAGTTTGTAATCTAAGCCAATCAAAACAACCGACAACAGAATTGATAAAAATTAAAGATACGCCAAAGCTTCACTTAATCTAGTAAACACCTATTTCACAACAATTGGTTCACAGTTTGCAAATTATACTCTGAACACCATAGGCAAATCAGTCTCAGAACTTGCTGATAATTTCAAGCAGACAGGTCCAACACATTCGATGGCTTTTTTCTTAACAGATCCTGAGGAAGTAAAAACAACTATTAACGAACTTAAACCAAATAATTCCCCTGGCTGGAACAAAATTACTACTAATTTAATTAAAAAGTATAGTCATATTCTTCGCGCACCTATAGCACATCTATGTAATAGAAGTTTTCAGACAGGGCAATTTCCATCACCATTCAAGCAGGCCTTAGTAACACCAATATTCAAATCTGGTGATAAGTTCGTTCCTTCGAATTACAGGCCAATTTCTTTGTTACCTACTTTTTCAAAAATAATTCAGAAGCTTGTGAACAACAGACTTATAAAATATCTAGAGCGTTATGGATATTTAGCTGCGAATCAATTTGGTTTTTGGGCACATCGTTCAACAGAAGACGCTATTTTACAACTGATTTCGAAAATAACATCTTATGTAGACAAAGGTGATAAGTGCATCTGTATTTTCTTAGACTTGCAAAAAGCGTTCGATACTGTGTCTATTCCTATACTTCTCGGACGTCTCGAAAATCTGGGTAGAAGAGGTATGCCATATGCATGGTTTTGTAACTACCTTAAAAACAGAACTCAAGTATTACGTGTTGACGACGAGCTAAGCGACAGAGCCAAATGTACCTATGGTATTCCACAGGGTAGCATTCTTGGATCAACACTTTTTTTGACGTACATAAATGAATTATGCATATATAATATCCGTAGTGCGGACCTTTTTATGTTTGCGGACGATAACAATCTTTTAACCGTCAATTGTTCAAAAGCGAAATATATATGTTTTTACAAAACAATAATCTCAAAACTACCCCACAGCTTCTCTTTCACCATGCATACGTACCCTTGTAATACGTTCCAAAAAAAGAGAGATGTAAATGTACAATATTAGAACGAACATCTACGATAAAATACCTTAGGGTAATCCTCGACGAAAGATTAAATTTGCAACCTCATATATGAAATATATCTAAACGAATTCGGAGACTCGCTATAGTATTTAAGAACGTAAGAACTGTAGGGAATAAAAAACTGCTAATTCAGACATATAACGCCCTTTGTCATTGTCTTATAAATTATTGCATCTGCTCATGGGGTGGAGCTCCATAAACATATCTTATTGCGGCAGAGCGAGCTCATAGATCTATACTAAAACTAATATTACATCTTACTTATACATACCCAATATCTAAAGTTTACGAATTGTCAAATGTCCTCAGTGTACGAAAATCGTATATATACAAATGCATAAAACGATATCATAATTTTTCCCCACTATATGAAGCTAAAAACAAAAGAACACAAAAATGTCCAGTACCATTTGTGAATAGCGCATTTGCGAAAAGGCAATATGACTACCAAGCACCTCATTAATATAATACGAGTACAATTTTTTAACAGTGGTAGAGCCAAGCGGTAGCTTTTGCTGTCGCACGGATGGGCCAGCTCGAACCGGGGTGGTACCACGACCTCACAGAATACCAGCGTGAAGTAGAGGTTTACCTCTGCGTTGCGTTTGGTGAGTGCAGGTGGCCGGAGGCCCAATTTCCCCCCCCCCCCCCCCGCCATCAACATGGTAGTGGAATTAAATACAAGACTACCCCAGGAGGGTACCAGCAACCCTGGAGAATCCCTCGCTGAGCATCCACGAACAAACTACTTCACTCCTGAGCGTGGGTGCTCAGGCTGCCCCGCGTATTCTGGGGGGGGCAAAATTCCGCTCGTGACTAATGCTGCTCGGGGCAAGCGGAGCAATACAACCAAGGCGACCCCTGTCACGCTATCCGTGAATTTTTGCAACATCAGGGGACTTCATTCCAACCTTAACGCTGTCCATTACCATCTAGAGACGGCGAAGCCGGCCTTGCTCTTTTTAACCGAGACTCAGGTGTCCTCTCCGGCTGATACTTCATATCTCTCCTACCCGGGGTACAAATTGGAACACTCCTTTGTGCCCCGGGCTGGAGTTTGTGTATACGTCAGAGAGGACATCTGTTTTCGACGCCTCGGCAGCCTTGAAGGTACGGACCTGTCCATCCTATGGCTGCGCGTAGACAGCGACGACCATCCCCGCGTCTACGGGTGCCTCTATAGGTCCCATAGCGGTAATGCCGACACAGACCGACTCATCGACCACGTCCAAATGGCTGCAGACTCCGTGCTACAACAGGTCCCATCCGCAGAGATCGTGATACTCGGTGATTTCAACGCCCACCACGCTGAATGGCTTGGTTCTCGTTCAACCGATCATGCGGGTAGATCTGTCTATGACTTTGCTTTGGCATATGGTCTAACACAACTGGTTACTTCGCCTACGCGGATCCCAGATGTGGAAGACCATGTACCTTCCCTGTTGGACCTTCTGCTGACCTCTCATCCGGACGGATATCAGGTCTCCGTCGATGCCCCTCTGGGCTCTTCGGACCATTGTCTGATCCGGAGCACAGTG